ATCTGCCCACAATAAACTACCTAGGGTGCAACTACACTGTAGAATTAATGGAGTTTGACACCACTTTAACTGCTCAATGCTATGGAATCAGGGGAGTTATAGTTTTATAAAGTCTTTAGCCTTCTTTACCAAATAATGCTCATGTCCCACCAAACTACAACTCCATTGCATAGGGCCATGGCAGTTAAAGAGGTGTCAAACTGCTGACTTACTTAGGTGATTCCTTGTTGTCCGAGTAGGATAGTCTTCTAGGATCAGTGTACTGTGGGTCCGTATGTGACTGTGGAGCCTTATTCTTGATTTGCATCTTCTCCCACAGTGAGGGCATTGGTTTCCAGGTGGAAGGCGATCCCAGTCGGGGTTGGCTTGATGCGCCTTCCTCTTGGCACGTTTCTCTCTTTCGTCCTTCATTCGTGCCTCTTCAAATTTTACAGCATTGCTGGTCACAGCTGACCTCCAGCTGGAGCGCTCAAGGGCCAGAGCTTCCCAGTTCTCAGTGTCTATGCCAGAGTTTTTAAGGTTGGCTTTGAGCCCATCTTTAAATCTCTTTTCCACCAACATTCTGTTTTCCGCTCTTGAGTTCGGAGTAGAGCAACTGGTTTGGGAGACGGTGGTCGGGCATCCGGACAACGTGGTCGGTCCAGCAGAGTTGTCCAATGGAGTTTTGTAGAATTGGTGTCAAACTAATTCTACAAAACAGATGCATCTTTAGAGAAAGGGAGGGAGAGAAGGAGAAAGAGAGAGGGAGGAAGCAAGTATTATTCAAAGCATGGAGAAATTACATTTTGACCTGCAGCTTCCAGAATCCCCAGCATGGCTTTCCTGGTGGGATTCACGATGTTCTAGTTCATAAGGAGGAGCCCCCGGTGACACAGTGGGTTAAACCCCTGTGCCGGCAGGACTGAAGACCGACAGGTCACAGGTTCGAATCCGGGGAGAGGCGGATGAGCTCCCTCTATCAGCTCCAGCTCCTCATGCGGGGACATGTGAGAAGCCTCCCACAAGGATGATAAAAACATCAAAATCATCCGGGCGCCCCCTGGGCAACGTCCTTGCAGACGGCCAATTCTCTCATACCAGAAGCGACTTGCAGTTTCTCAAGTCGCTCCTGACATGATAAAAAGTTCATAAGGGAGTTTACCAAGCTCTGAGTTTCCCCTGTATATTTGTACACATGTGTAATGTACAATCAGCTTTGCTTCATGCATTTCCCTTTGTGGCACTTGTATTGGGAATGGCACAAGCAATAATAAGGATAATATGTACTCCTTCTTCTCTCCACATATGGCTCTCATTTTTTGCTTTGAGTTGTAACTGTCAGTGAGCACAAATAAGAATGGCATGCACATTTTGTTTGTAAAACTCGATTTAAGAAAGCTCATGACTCTATTATAAGGAATCAAACCTGCTCCCTTCGAAGAACAAATTTTGATGTGAGCATCAAGCCTGGTAAAAACTAATCACAACTCTAGTTTTGCTTTTGTGGAATTGTGTGTGTACGGTAATGCTTCTTCAGATCATCTTGTGAACAACCACTGGGTGGCAGCAAAGGAACACCAAAAACTGCAAACACACTCAGTTATGTGTGTTTGAAAGATTGGTGGTAATGGATAGGGTGGAAGGCAGAAAAGTGGCAAAATGGAAAATTTGGCATAGTTAAAACAGACTGCAGACCATTTCCTCACATATTCTTGTTGTCACAATTACACATCTACCAAGACGTCTTTTTTATTTCCGTTATCTGACTATTTTTCTTTTTAATAAAGTATTCCTATTGTTATGAGCCTGCAAATTGTTCCTAACTTATGGTGACCCTAAGGCGAACCTATCCCAGGCTTTTCATGGCAGGATTTGTTCAAAGAGATTTTGCCTTTTCCTCTCTCTAAGGCTCTCACTGCCAGAATCACTAGCCACTCTCTTCACTCCTCTGTAATCTGCTTCCATAGCCTCCTCTGGCCTGAATCCTGCAAAGTCTTCTTCATCACTGGAAGCTAGAAAGATGTCACGAATGCATTTCAGCTGGCGCTGATTCTCCTCTGTTTCTGCATCACTCCTTCTTCTCCTCCTACTACTAGTAGTAGGTATTAGGGCTGGGCGGTTTCGTTTTGTTAATTCGTAATTCGTTAATAATTCGTTAATTTTAATTACAAAACGATAACGAACCATTCTGGAGCAATTTTTTTAAAAAACGAATTTTCAAAACGTTTTGTAAATGCTTCGTATTTCGATATTGTATTCGTTTCGTTATTGTTTTGAGGTCGTTTCGTTATTATTTCCGCATGTCTGGGCCAAGTTTTATGGTTTAATTAGTGAAAAAAAATTATAATATCACACCAACAGTCAACAACAGAGGGAGAGGGAAGCTTCAGAAGGTTTTGGAGGTTTTTTAGCGTATTTCGCGGTCGCGTCCGCCATTAACGAATCGATTCGTTATTGTTTCGGAAATCGATTCGTTAATTTTTTACCATTTACAAAATTTCGTAAATATCGAACTTTTTAAAAGGAAAATTTTGTAATTATTTTAAATATCGAAACAAAAAAAAACCCAAATACAAATCGATTTTAGAAACAAATTTTTCCGTTGTTACCCAGGCCTAGTATATATTGTTGTATTTCCCTTTTCATTTTAAATAATGTGATTTGTCCGAAGTCAACTAGTGAGTTTCCATAGCCAGGATTCAAACCCTGCTCTCCAGAGTTGTAACCCCATGGTCAAACTACTACACCACACTGGCTCTCAATAGAGTATGACAGTATGCAAAAATAACTTACTCAAATTTGATGCCATGCACTCTATTCATTTCTTTATATATATAGACCGACCACTTGCTCCCTCGATCCGTGTCCCTCTTGGTTGGTGAAATCCTGCTTGGAGGGATTACGTGACCCCCTGTTGAAGATCATAAACAGCTCCCTTGAGCAAGGAGTCTTTCCAGA